GACTGCCGGATTTCGCGCGAAATCGTGCTTTTTTTTTTTTTTTTAGAGGCGAATATAATTAAAAAAATCGAAAGATATTATAAGAAGCACTGTACTTTTGAATATTCCGTGTATTTTTTTCACATTTCTTCTTCTATTTTTCTTTAATGTCGCATCATTAGCGACGACGGTGCCGTTGGATATGTGTGTAGTAGTCTATATTTTTGAGATATTTTAATATTCTTTGTATGTCATTTTGAAAAGTCAGGTTTATTTTTGCGTTGATTCCGTATTTCTGTCTTTGGATTTCTGTGGTGTGTGGCATTCGTGCAGTATGTGGGTTATTGTTAGTAGATTATTGCAACGATTATTGCAGGTGGGTGGTGTAGGTTTTTTTAATTTTGTGTTCGTGTGTCAGCTTGGTTAATAACCGATTGTGTTAGGCGTGTGATAATTGTTCTTTCTTTCCTGTTGTTAAAGTTTGGCGTTTGCTGGTGAAAGTCTTGAATACTTTTATGTAGTTGGATGCTTCTAATTGTTTCCCATCTATTGTTCCATTCATATTTGCTACTTTTTTGCAATGGATTATTTGAAAAAAAGTAGCAGGGGATTGGAAGATGGTTGTTGCGATTGTTAGTAAGTGAGGGAACTGTGGCTTCTTTTCCATATTTGTTCTCGTAGAATCACTCTCGATTGCGAGTTTGCTACATCGTGTTCACGTGAATGAACCCGCTTCGATAATGAGCGTCGTATATTTCTCATCATACTTTTCCATTATCCGTGCCGCGTCGAACTTTTGCTCGACTGTTTGGTATTCAGGAATCGTCGACAGCCGAACCGAGGTGCCGAGGCAACATTTTTGCGGCCTTATCTCGCGGCTTTACTTCGACACTTGGAATAATAACCGAGTGGAAAATTATACGCGGTGTCGGTATCGTGCGCAAATATTGAAACACACGTTTCGAATTGTACGTTGCACGATACACGAGACTGGTGGACGTTCGCGGATCGCTTTCTGGACCGAGTAAATCCTACCAATTGTTCCACGTAAGCACGACGTACGACGAGCAAACCTCGACGAAGGCTAAGCTTTATCTTCTGGCCAGCGATTTCAAGTAAATACTCGAGAATTAATGACCTAAAAAATGAAATTATCCCCACGTATCGAAGTGACAAATAAAACGATGTGTATCGAACTACTATCCGGGGAGATCGTATCAGCGACAAACTGTCGACTTTGCATCTTTGATATCTCTCGAGTATTTTCTTCCAACTCGAGCATCTATTTTTCTAGAGCATCGAAAGACGAGTGTCATCGTGTACTGTATGTACGTTTTAATCCTTTGGGCACGTTTGATAGGCTGACATTCGTCGTTGCCTAAATGCAGAACGACGAGTCTAACTCGTCATTCGAATTGAGACGACATTTAACTTTTAATTGGATTTATTTGTTTTCGTTTTGTTCGTCTTGCTCGTTTACTTTTGTTTTGCAATTCTAATTACTCAAAGTCCTCTCGACACTATGTACGTCACTGAAATAGTAAATAATAAAAATAATTATGTAATAATAATAATAAATAACATTTTTTACATAAAATCTACTACTCCGCCAACAAATTAAATGTGCAAAAATTTTTTTTAAATCGGTACCCAAAGAGTTTAACTTTTTAATCTCGCGATCTCAGATAAATCTTTGGGGATCCCTGGCGAGCATCAATAACCGCTAATCAACGATAGCCAACGAAATACTTTCCCATGTTACAGATACTGTGTCCCAACTGTACAAGTCTCGTTTATCTCGAGTGTTCGACTTCCTCGAGATTGCGAGGCTTTTTATCGTGCAGGTAAATCTGTTTCGTATTTCGTGGAGAACCTAATTGGCGCGATCGCTGTCTGTTTTCCTCGATGACACGAGGCTCGTTCGAAGCGAGTATCGATATCGAGTCGCGTAATTCGGTACTTCTCGCGATAGGAGCAATATTCAGGTAGATATTTGCTATCTAGTTTATCGATCATCCTTCCGCGTGGATCCATCGAACAAAAAAAAAAAAAAATGTACCACGTGAACGATGAAGAGTTAGTGGGAAAAACTTTCAGAAAGATTCTTTTCGATGATAACTCGTTGATCTTTGGGAAATCAATGAAATGCGGATTCTTGTACGGAAACGAACGCACCCGATGAATCGCCGAGCTCGATTTTCTCGGAAAACAATGGCTTTGGTGAAACAATTTTGTTATTTTTTTCCGACTCTATGTATTACTCCATGTTACTATTATTGTTCGGGCCTAGGACCGAATATGAGAACATAAATGAACAATATTAACAAGAGTGATGTTCATCACAAGACTGAATGTTTAATTACATTTTGAAAGAATACCGTAGAAGAACTCGGTCTTACATTGTAAGTATAATTTCGTGTTTATCGAACAACTCGAATGATTCCAACGAACGAAACCGCTCATCTCGCGGGAAATTAAATATCTAAAAGGCACATCACAGAGATGTGACGAATTCTCGGTTGAGTTCGGTCTTGATTGACCTCGACGAAGCTTCGCCGCTTGAAAGTCAATCAAGACCGAGAGAGTTCGACTGAAAAATCGGCAAACGAGGAGTCCCATTGAACTACTCCAGCACGACACGAAGCCCTTATTGAGTTCCGCCGCGGGCCTCGTTGCCCCCCACTCGACGGATTGATTAGGGCGAAACTCGTGGGCCAGTTCCCATTCACTCGAACCGCGAACGTGAATGACTCCTCCGACCACTGAAAAGGCACCGATCTGATACAATGAATACGTATTCTACACGTATACGTGCATACTGCGTACCTACGGATCGAATGGACGGAGCAAGCGATCTCCTCCTCTTCGAGGCCACGCTCTGCGAGGCCAAAGTTCGACGGTACTTATCTTCTAGCTTGTCTGTACATGTTTATTTACCAACATTGACGATTCAACGCGATCGAGTGTTTCGTTAAACAGCGTGAAGAACCAAATGACCAACAAATTCTACATTTTTTTCTCACTCTGGCCGTCTATCTCTTTCGGCTCGGTTTGAAAGTTTCCCCCGGTTAGGGGAGAACCGTGTCTGTTTGCCATTAACTTCTTGCGCTGGGATAACGTGCCACGCACGTCGACAATATTTGGTCCAAATATTTGCAATATTTTCCCAGTTTCAAGTATGTTGAAATATAACCCAGGCAAAGCAAATAATAAATCTATTGTTTCTCAGTAATTTCTATCCAGTGATATACCAATAAAGTCAAAAACGAAAACGAATCATTGTATACGGTTTGGTCACTCGTTATGGTCCGCAATCAGTTGCCTGGTTAAGACGTTTAATAGAACTGTGTTGAAAAATGTGATTTTCGGGGAAAAGAGATTCTGAATGTTTCTAAGTATTACTGTTCGTATTAAGGTAAAATATATTCCCAATACTGAGAAAATAATTTCAATATACTAATTTCAAGTATATTGAAACATAACCCAGGCAAAGCAAATAATAAATCTATTGCTTTTCAGTAATTTCTATCCAGTAATATACCAATAAAGTCAAAAACGAAAACGAATCATTGTATACGGTTTGGTCACTCGTTATGGTCCGCAATCAGTTGTCTGGTTAAGGCGTTTAATAGAACTGTGTTGAAAAGTGTGATTTTCGGGGAAAAGAGATTCTGAACGTTTCTAAGTATTACTGTTCGTATTAAGGTAAAATATATTCCCAATACTGAGAAAATAATTTCAATATACTAATTTCAAGTATATTGAAACATAACCCAGGCAAAGCAAATAATAAATCTATTACTTCTCAGTAATTTCTATCCAGTGATATACCGATGAAGACGAATCATTGTATACGGTTTGGTCACTCGTTATGGTCCGTGAACCAGTTACTAGTGTAAGAGGTTAAGTGAATTACTAACACGTGACCAACACATGTTGGCATTTTCTTCGCTGTTTCAGCGCGGAGAAAGAAAAATTGGCGAGATCAGGTTTGAAGAAACCTGACGAATTTTCATCGCGACTGATAAATAATATTGCAACTGCGCGATCGTCGATAGATCGTTCGTAGGCTCGTTCGTTCCCGTGATCGCGGTAATGACTTCACTCTGCAGTGATCTATTCGTAAACGAGGACAAATGCGGACGATAATTATCGTACGGGTTTTTCAATGGTGATCGTGGGAAGGAAAAGACTTGGATTGACTTTCAAATATTGCCACGGAAGTGAGAAAACGTGCGGATCGAGAAGGGCCTGGTTATTATCCTGGTTTACCGGTTAAATAACAGATCTCAGCCGGAAAGGGAAAGGGAAGAGGAAAACGCTGGCGATTTTTATCAGCCGAGGCGTGTAGCGGCAAGAATCGACAAGGTCGATTTACTGATTCGAAATTAATATTCCGATCGGGTCAGCCGAGTGCCGCGCATGCGCGCGCTACGCAACAGTAGTCAGTCTCACCGTATGGAAATTTCGGAAACGGCGACTGTCTCGTCCGATCGGGCGTCATAGAAGAAACCGCGAAACGGTTTTGCATCAGCCGTCGAAAATCGACAGGCAAATAGGGACACAAAGTGAACAAATTATATGGCTAAGTACTTCGGCAAGGATGAAAACGACAGAGAAAATTATTTATTTATTAAACGAGGAGGAACACACAAGAAACGGGCTTGTTGTGCGGGACGCGACCACGTGCAAAGGGACGCTGCGCGGCGCGCATGCGCGAACCTTGAGGCGGGAAGTGCGCGTAAGTGTGGACGGAATACGAAACACAACATCGAAGAACACGTAGGACGTGTTACGCGCGGTGGCACGCGTGTGTACATGGTTGTCCCGTTAACGTAAACGAGACGGAAGACGTATGAATGAGAACGTATTCGTACCGCGCGCGCACGTATATACAGAGAAATACATCTGGTTAAAAACTCACAAACCCATACATACATGCATACATGCATACGTACATACATACATACATACATACATACATACATTTGGTTATGGCCAAATGACCCTTTTTAGATTACCTTTCCTCGTGAAGCCACTGTCACCGAGCCGAGCCGAAACTCCAGAGAGCCGACGAAGATGCGAGAGAAAGAGGATGCCGGGAGCGGAAGGCGCGCGTGTCCGTGGCTGCGTCGTGCGCGTGTACTAAGACGGTACGCGCGACGTGTCTGAGAGTAACCGCGATCAGCGTATCCCGTCGGGCGTGCACGGCTTCCATCGGTCACCGATAACGACCGAATGCCAGATTGGTCCGCCACGAGCTCGCAGGATCGTCTCGTTGGACACACACGCCTCGACTCGCGCCGCCAGATGATCCGTCCGGCCGGCAGGCACGAGGCGTGACGTAACAACCGTAGAAAGTTACGGAGCTTGTCGCCGTGGAACTCGAAAATTCCGCCAGCGATATTTGGCAGTGATCGGGTCGCCTCGGTTCCCCCCGGTTCCCTGTCCCTTCCGCATTTTCCCGCGATACCGCAACTGAACAGCGAGATGATCACCTCGATCGAGGAAGATCGTAGGCTCGTTGGCGAAATGTGTCGACTTCTTCGAGAGTTTCGGGCTTCTCGTTCGATCGAGAATTCCAAGTCGATTCTCACGCTCCACCCTCCGACCGATTACGATCGATGCGCGTAGAAACGCTGCTCGCGAAACGGGCAGTCAGTGCGGTGGACACGCGGCGCCGCGAGTTCGGCGTCGATCGTCGATAAGAACTCCGGAGGCGACTGTCCGATAACCCGTTTCAGCGGAGATTGTGCGGCAACCCGTTCCGATGTTTCGAGCCACGAGACGCGGTGATAGCGAGCACGATGACGTAACAAAGTGACGAAAAGCTTTGCTTTTCAATGTGGCTAGGCGCACAGGTGGACAGGAGGCAGGTACACGATAACGCGTGATACATTAGTACTAGATGTAGAAACTAGAACGACTAAACATTGAGAGAACGTTCGTCAAGCGTTGTTTCAAGTGCGACGCGTCAGTATTTGTTGGAGCCACTTTATCTCGAATACACAGCATATTCTTTTTGTTCAATAATATATATCGCGAACCGATTTTATTTAGCCATTTCTTTATTTATAGCGCCGCTATCAGTAATTTGACAGGTTCTATAATTGTTTTTCGCTATAATCGCGCGACTCGGTGAATGCCAGTTGTTTTGCTTGTCATTCAAAAAAGACACAAGATCGGCTCGTTGCATGGAGAAAAAAACCCGCTGTATCACTTCGACACGAAAGTTTGAACGTACTATTAATAAAAGTGGGCCGAATGTAACTGGTTCGCGCGGGAGTTTCGCTGGTTGCCGCGTGGAAAGGGGCGGTGGTGCTCGTGTGGCGCGAAATACACTTTCGCACCTCGCGGAAATACACACTGTGGCTCTCCTTTCGCTTGTATCGTGCGTTCGCCGCTCGTCTAAAAATACCATATACGTATTTGATATTATTTCGACCAAGTGTACGCGAGGATAAACTCTCTCCTTCCACGCGCGCTGCGAACAACGTTTTATCCACAGTTCGATCTATTCCCTCCTCGTGGCATTCCTCTCTTCATCGATCACTGGTCGTTTCCACGAATCGATTCTGATTCGTGATTCGTCATCGTCCTTTCGCGACGTATGTACACGCTCACTTCGCGTAGATAAACTTGACGGAAACGAACGTGTGGGACCACGTGTGTATTCGGGCAACCGTGATCGCCTGTGTGTGTGGGTATGCCATGCACTCGAAATGCACTCACGTATGCGTCATAATCGTCGTTGACGAGGCATGGAACTTTGGATGTCACACCCGCGATGTTCGAAGAACGAAGTGAACAGAGGGGGCGAGTGTCGTAAAAATCAGCAGCGGAGTTGAAGTTCGAGGATCGTGCGCGAGAAAGACAACGAGAGAACGAGAGCGAGAGGGGTGGGGAAAGAGACGAGAACAAGAATGAGGAGAGAGACGCGCAACAAACCGTACGATGGAAAAAACGGTACGAGAGTCGCGATAAACGACGCGATCAACCACTAGCAATTATCGCGCGACGCAATGGTGACGGCGTTTCGCCAAACCTCCGTTCGTTTTCCTGCGCTTCGCCCCTCTTTGTTCCACGGTGGCGCTTAAACGAAAGCGTAAGTTTACTTAAGGTAGGTCGCGCCAAGAATATACATCAACTCTCGTTCCGTTCCTTCGAGAGTTTCGTGGGTGGATAAACGATTCGTTCGAACACTTGCGTTCTCTTTTTTTTTTATATATAAAAGTAAAACTCGGCGAGCTTGCGACACGCGAGCCTTCAAATTTTTCGGCATACGCTTGGCCTTTCACTTCACAGTGATTATCCTTGATATTCAAACGTTTCGACGCCATCAGTATATATACGTGTATTAAATATATATATATATATATATATATATATATATATATATATATATATATCTTAATGCTAAAATGCTAGAAACAATGTGAAGCTTGTTTCGAAAGCTACGCTCCGATTGTTCTAGCATAGAAAAGAAGAATAACTGGGATATGCTGGTTTGATGTTTACAATAATATAAACGTATTTAGTCTTCCTTTTTCTTTTTCATATGGACGGTAATTGTGAAGTTTCAATGGCTTCGACATTTCATTTGCAAGTATGTAACATTTGCCACCGACTGGGAAGAGAAGAGTCAGATCGTTGAAAGATTACCGACCAGCCGTTCCTCGCGATCGCTGACAATAATGCAAACTGATTGACGTATTACAATGTTTTATTGCTGCGTACTCGTGATTTACATGCGGCAAGAAAAGTAACGGGAGAGTAACAGTTTACGAATCAAAAAGAACGAAAGAGAGAGAGAGAGAGAGAGAAAAAAGAAAGCGAAACAGCGCGTATACGCGGATTTCCATTTCGTGGAAACTATGTGGGGGAGAGATACGTATTATTAATAAATAAACAAGTCAACGCAATGTTTCAGTAATAAAAATTCATAATTCCTCTTCAATTTCAATAAACGTCACGTAATACATTTGTCCTCCTTCTTTGTACCATAGCATATGTATATACTTCTTTTTTTTTTTGTTTGTTTTTTTTTTTTTTTTTTTTTTTTTTTTTTTTTTTTTTTTTTTTTTTTTTTTTTTTTTTTTTTTTTTTTTTTTTTTT